CTATACAGGTATTATACAGGTACTATACAGGTACTATACAGGTATTACACAGGTACTATACAAGTACTGTACAGGTATTATACAGGTACTATACAGGTATTATACAGGTACTATACAGGCATTATACATGTACTATACAGCTATTACACAGGTAATTCTGCATGTAATTCTGCAGGAATCGTACAGGTATTATACGGGTACTGTTTAGGTTTTATAAAGGTTAAATATACTACAGGTATTATACAGGTTTTATACAGGTAAATGTACAGGTAAATGCACAGGTAAATGTACAGGTATTGTACAAGTCCTGTTTAGGTTTTATAAAGGTTAATTATTCTACAGGTTTTATACAGATAAATGTACAGGTATTATACAGGTTTTATACAGATAAATGTACAGGCAAATGTACAGGTATTGTACGGGTACTGTTGAGTTTTATAAAGGTTAATTATTCTACAGGTATTATACAGGTTTTATACAGGTAAATGAACAGGTAAATGTACAGGTACAATGTATTATACAGGTAAATGTACAGGTATTATAAAAGTTTTATGCATGTACTACCACTAGGCATATTAACTCGTATTCTTTCAAGTAAGTGAAATTATTTTAAATTGAAGTGATTGATATTATATACAACATATAACCATGTAGGGTCCTTGTTGTTTAACAAGTTATTAGACATTTGTGTTTAAAATTGAATCTTTTTTAATATAAGTCTTATCTCTTTATGATATCTCTATAGAACACATTTATGTAATACTTACTGTTTAACCAATGAACATTGGGACTGCATTGGCTAGACTTAATTGGTAAGTCTATAAGCTATTTAGTGAAGTAGTGAAAAGTTTTGGGTCTAATCAGATGGATGTAAGGCTTAAAATTCAGATCTTCTCAGAAATAGTGAGGATATTACTAAGTTTAATTTGCCTCCATTAAATATTGATGGTGAATGTGTTATTGGGTGTGGAGGTATTGACTTCTCAGTAGGCATTGAGCAGAGGTTGTATGGGGTGATACGGGATTTGTTACCCAATCACATCAGCCGTTATTATCAAGGCCAAACGGTCGATGATTTCTGTAATGAGGTCTGCAAATTGTCTGAAATGCACCGCGGAAATATGCTAATAGGGAGAATTCTTCACCTATCAGTATTACAGGGCTAGCTGATGAACAAAGCAATTATGGAAATTCAACTGTCCATGTTAACCTCATATTATGGAAGTATTGAATTCCACTGATATTTTCACAGTAAAATTTCTGCTGAATATTGGTGTTTTCCGTCAGGAATTTAAGATGCCTTTTGGAAAATCACTGCATAATTTTCACCCCTTTCTTCCAAAGAACCCCCCCCCCCCCCCCCAATCGTTCTTGAGGAACCTTGATGCCTTACTTATATGGTTGTGTAATGCCATTGTTCAAGTCAAGTTTAAAAGTGACAGCTAGATGAACAGTTAATGTTAAATTGCATAATAAATGTCCTATAATTACATGTAGTGTTAAAGGGGTATTGTGACATGTCAAGGAAAACTTATGGAAGAATGGCTGAGAAAAAAGAAAATCGCGAAATTTCGGACTGTTTTCAGTAATTGCCGTAAGCAAGGTGGCAAATAAAAGTGGCATTATCACGATGTATTGCTTTTCTACAAAAAAACCTTCAATGTTAGACACCACACGCAGCTTATTTAATTTTAAAGTTAAGATGTTCATTGTGTATGTGAACAAGTTGAAAAGGTCTACTGTAAATTGACTTTTTTTTCAAAAACCTAAAAAGTCAACCTAAAAAGTCAATTGTGAATGTCATAATGATTGACTGCATTTTACTAGTGAAAAGCCCCTTCTTGGTTTTAATTTCCCACTCTCTTGTAAAGGACAGGTATTGTCCCTGAGGGATCTGTCACCAACAACTTAGCTAAATTGCCAATGAAGTATACTTTAGACTTGTTTGAAACATGTCTGATTTGGAGTAGACCGACCTGTCACAATATATAGGAAAACTATTATATCACAATACAGGCATATCTTGTCGCCAGATCCTTTCAATTGATGTGATTGTATTGTATTGTAAATGAATTTAAGTAATAAATATTGTTTAAACCAATACAGGCAGGTCATATCAAATCACAATACAGAATTGAAATATCGCTGTATTGCAATGTTTTTAAAAATCTCAAAAATAATCATTGATCTGCTTGGTGTTTTGATTTTGTAAATTACTACATATTCTAGCAGATGTGCCAAAAATCACAAACAAGCTCTTGCTAGTAGTGGGAATCAGTTGAGAGGGTCTAACATATAAGTCTTAACTCATTCACCCCTAAAATTTCATAATGAACTATTCCAACCTTTGAATTGGAGGATTCAAATGTGTCTTCAGGGGTGAATGAGTTAAAGGACTATGTATGGTTTGGGCCTTTTTTGGCCCCCAAATCCATCAAATTTAAAAATCTGCAATAGAACTTTCAAACGAATGTTTCTTTAATTTTGAATACTTCCCCAGTTCTATTATGTAAATATTTATTTGTGTTTTCAATTTTGGCTGCCATGGTAACCAGGTCATATTTGCATAAATGATTATATTCAATTTTGACAGGTTTTCACCTAGTTTTTCTCTTAGCTACCATAGAGCGCACTCTTGAGCAAACTTAATATTTCTCCTCAAGATGTATTACAGGTGCCTACACATTATCTTTTGATATTAAGTTTGTTCAAGCATGCGCTCTATATTTTCTAGGAGAAAAACTATGCAAAATATCCCAATATTCACTGAATATTCATTTTTTTTCTAATTTTAAGCAAATTTGAACTTGTTACCATGGCAACAATAATTAGAAATATAAATAAATATTTTCAAAATAGTATTTAGGAAGTATTCGAAATTAAAGAAACAGGTATTTCAAAGTTCATTTAAAGGTTTTGAATTTTGATGCATTTGGGGGCCAAAACAGGCCCAAACCATACTAGTCCTTTGTGTGACCCATTTGCTAAGTGATTAAGTTTGATAACAGTCTGACAATAATTTCTCTTTAAAGTGAGAACCGTTCGCCTCTTGACAATATATCGGGATACGTATCACAATACATTTCTTCTGTATTGCGATATATTGTGATACACTCCAGGTGTAATGTGGCACCCCTAATTTGAGTTGCTTGCCCATTTACTATATAAACAAAGCTGCCATGGTGTTTGTTATACTGAGAGTCTCTGCAGCATAATACTCCGAATAACTTCAAAATGGTGTATCTTACCAAGGCCTGCTGCAACCCATGGTTGTTTTTGTATGAATATAAAGGAAACAAAAGAACTTTTGAAAACAAATTTCATTGTCTGTAAACAACTAAAGTGGCGAGACTATAGACCGAACCCCCATCAGATTTCACAGGAGTGTCTTCTCTGGAAATCAACTCTCTGACTGTGGCGACAGTAAAAATTGTAAATTAGCAATACACTGTAGTCAACTCCCAGTCCCATTGGGGCTTAACACTAGATCCAACTGGATTACAGATCCCGTGGGCCTGTTGTTGGACCTGAATTCCAGTAACTGTTATTGATCAACCCTTAGCTGTGTGGGACTGACGAGAAGTGGGTTATACTGTACCCCAGTAACTGTTATTGATCAACCCTTAGCTGTGTGGTACTGACGAGAAGTGGGTTATACTGAGAAGTGGGGTATACTGTACACCAGTAACTGTTATTGATCAACCCTTATCTGTGTGGGACTGACGAGAAGTGGGTTATACTGCACACCAGTAACTGTTATTGATCAACCCTTAGCTGTGTGGGACTGACGAGAACTGGGTTATACTGTACACCAGTAACTGTTATTGACCAACCCTTAGCTGTGTGGGACTGACGAGAAGTGGGGTAGACTGAGAAGTGGGTTATACTGTACACCAGTAACTGTTATTGACCAACCCTTAGCTGTGTGGGACTGACGAGAAGTGTGTTATACTGTACACCAGTAACTGTTATTGATCAACCCTTATCTGTGTGGGACTGACGAGAAGTGGGTTATACTGTACACCAGTAAATGTTATTGATCAACCCTTAGCTGTGTGGGACTGACGAGAAGTGTGTTATACTGTACACCAGTAACTGTTATTGATCAACCCTTAGCTGCGTGGGACTGACGAGAAGTGGGTTATACTGAGAAGTGGGGTATACTGTACACCAGTAACTGTTATTGATCAACCCTTATCTGTGTGGGACTGACGAGAAGTGGGTTATACTGCACACCAGTAACTGTTATTGATCAACCCTTAGCTGTGTCGGACTGACGAGAAGTGGGTTATACTGAGAAGTGGGTTATACTATACACCAGTAACTGTTATTGATCAACCCTTAGCTGCGTGGGACTGACGAGAAGTGGGTTATACTGAGAAGCGGGTTATACTGTACACCAGTAACTGTTATTGATCTACCCTTAGCTGTGTGGGACTGACGAGAAGTGGGTTATGCTGAGAAGTGGGTTATACTGTACACCAGTAACTGTTATTGACCAACCCTTAGCTGTGTGGGACTGACGAGAAGTGGGGTAGACTGAGAAGTGGGTTATACTGTACACCAGTAACTGTTTTTGATCAACCCTTAGCTGTGTGGGACTGACGAGAAGTGGGTTATACTATACACCAGTAACTGTTATTGATCAACCCTTAGCTTTGTGGGACTGACGAGAAGTGGGTTATACTGTACACCAGTAAATGTTATTGATCAACCCTTAGCTGTGTGGGACTGACGAGAAGTGGGGTAGACTGAGAAGTGGGTTATACTGTACACCAGTAACTGTTTTTGATCAACCCTTAGCTGTGTGGGACTGACGAGAAGGGGGTTATACTGAGAAGTGGGTTATACTGTACACCAGCAACTGTTATTGATCAACCCTAAGCTGTGTGGGACTGACGAGAAGTGGGTTATACTGTACCCCAGTAACTGTTATTGATCAACCCTTAGCTGTGTGCGACTGACGAGAAGTGGGTTATACTGAGAAGTGGGTTATACTGTACACCAGTAACTGTTATTGATCAACCCTTAGCTTGGGGGACTGACGAGAAGTGGGTTATACTGTACACCAGTAACTGTTATTGATCACCCCTTAGCTTGGGGGACTGACGAGAAGTCGGTTATACTGTACACCAGTAACTGTTATTTATCAACCCTTAGCTTTGTGGACTGACGAGAAGTGGGTTATACTGAGAAGTGGGTTATACTATACACCAGTAACTGTTATTGATCAACCCTTAGCTGTGTGGGACTGACGAGAAGTGGGTTATACTCAGTGTGGATGGATAGAGGAGAATGTACACCAGTATAACCACTAATGTCACTCATTATGTAATCCAACCCAGCTCAGTAATTGGTGTTTCTGAGCACACGATCATCCCCAACATACTGGGGGCTCTTATGTAACGTAGGTACAACCTGGGGATGGATGGTAACTTTATTTTAATAAAAAGTAGATGGAAAATTGTTTTAAAGATGGTCTGGCTAATTGTTTACCACATAAATTGGTGCAAAATCATCAAATATTGCTTTAATTTCTTGAGACATATAGGATTTCTGAAACCCCCCAGGATATAGGTAAAAAAAAATGGGGGGAAATCTATACATTAACACCCTTTGCATTTATGTCGCAAAGGCTCTTAACGAATGGAGTAAATTCATTTACTGTGTGTAACTCTTTATCTGACAAAAGGGTCATGCAAAGCATGTGCATACATGCTTTTCTATACTGAGTAATTTCCATCAATTCATGTGGAAACAAAAACACAATTTATAATCACAAAATATTCATTGTGTATTCTATACTATAGGTTCCATCGAAAGGACATCTGTCTTTCATTGATTTACTCGACAGGAAATGACAGGTACCCATTTTAACAGCTTGGTTGACTAGATTAGAACTTTTAATAGATATATATATAGCTGGCTGCAAGTCTTCATTTAGACCTGATACAGCATTCCGCTACCAACATATTTTTTTTAATTTCAATTCTGAAAGTTAAGAAATGTTTCTGAGTGTGTGTTGAAAAAAAAAAGACGTTAAGAAAAAGATAATTTCTTTCAATTTAAGTGTTTCAACTTTCAATTTCACTGTATAAATGGTATGTGAAATAATGCTTTTGAAATGACAGGAACTTTCAAATCTCTTCACTATATTTATTTTTATCATCAAAAATCAGAGATACCTCGGCCATTGATTTAAATACACCAGAAAATAAAACACAAACCAAAGACTTTTACCTGCAATTAATCGTAACATCAATTTATTATCAAGAAAAGTATATCCCTGAAGCCCTAATCTAGAAATGAGGAAAACGCCATTTGAATGGCTGCCAACATTTAGAGCACTTAGCAGGGAATTGTTAATGACGTTTAACTCTACTTAGATGTATACAGTTTATGTTGTGTTCTATCTTTAACATCTTACCTTAATTGAATTCCTGAATTCTGCCAACCTGTGGAAATTCTCCAGGTTTTCTCCAACGGTTTGTAAGTCTTTCCCGTACTACCTGTGATAGAGTATACATGTGTTAGGAGAGCCCTGACGACAGCCAGGCTAAAAGCCACAAAATTTGTGAATTTTATTTTTCACTCCAAGATTTTGTTTTTACTCCAAGTCTAAAATAATGTTTTAGGTCCCAACTTTACCCATATTTTCATCTCTGTAAGCAAAATATATCAAATTGTCAATATTTAGATTCCTGAAAGTTTTGCCAATGAAATAAATGTCAATTATGTTCTGTGTAACAAAGCAGCCGTAAACACACGTAACAGTTGATAATAGTAATGTTTATTCATAGACGTTCATCAACAATCTCATTACAGGTACATGTACAGGTGGTTACAACATCTCATCTACGTATGGTAGTACTTCACGTTGTGTCTCTGACTTTGAGCTAAGTAACTAGGCCTGTGCCAAACCATGGCCACACACCCCATACTCTGTCTCTCTGAACCTTGGTCCAAATTGACCTGTCCCTAATTCTCGAGGCTAATTCCCGACTCCCTGAATATGGGATGCACCCTGTTAAATACGTTTTCCAGTGCATACGTCACATCATTGCCTACAGCCAATCATTTGTAAACCTGTCATCATAAATACTTGGTACTATGTGACTATAATTATGTTGTAAGTATTACATGTACCCTTTAGGCTACTGTTACCTATATACATTTCCTTCATTTTACAACAATTATGAAACAAGTTATTTCAACTTATATTAATCACTTTTGTTGGCCCGGATGTAAGCGCGTGGGGGGGTCTTAGTGTGGGAGGAAACCGGAGTACCCAGAGAAAACCCATGTGCTCGGGCTGGTGACCCCAACATTTTCACGTCCGATTGAGGAATCGAACCCCGGCCGCCTTGGTGAAAGGCAAGTGCGCTATCCACTGCACCACCTGACCACCCCTACATTACTGATCATGACCCCGACTGGCACACGACTTACAATCAAAAGATATGATGAATCTTAACATAAATTAATCACATTAATTAATTAAATTAACTATTGGGTAAGCCCATTTTTTCACATCTGTGCAAAATATCAAAAAGAGAAGTTTCCTGAATAATCCGAGGTGACGGTTGTAAATAAGAGCATTTCACTCTACAAAATATCTGTCAAAATGAACAATTGCTTTAAATGTTTTGACAGTAGACTTTCAGATCAAACAAAATACAATGTCATGTTCACTTATTATTATTTTTTTATTATAAAATGCCTCATTCTTGTAAATCAGGATGTTTCTAAAACTGCAAACAAATAAAAATTAACATCTGTCTAAACGCTCTCATCACAATGTCCAGTACATTTGTAGTTTGTTTTTACTGCTTTCAATAACACAAAATGTTAAAAAGCAGAATTTAAATTTTGTAATTGCATTATGTAACATTTTATGAATATGTATGTTTGTAACTTTCTTACCTTTGAACTTGTTAAATCTCATTGTTGTAATGAAGTAATATTGTAAGATCATCGGAAAAAAATAATTCCGTTCTGTGTCACACACAGCTATAGTGTCTCGTCCATATCAAAGATTCAATTAATATCTGTGTAAAACATCCGGCACCTTTATAGAATATGAAAAATGTAGACAACTTTTAACCATTCTACGCAAAATAGAAAGAATGCTAATCGTCATAATATGGTAATATGATGGAATAATTCATGACTTGTGACAGGTGTAATCAAAGTGGGTCTTGTTTTTTTAGGACATAAGGATGTTAAGTCGTAAGTTAGGGGTTATTTCCGTTTTGTACGCTTATTAGAGGCTTTGTTTCTGCTCGTCGTGGTGTGATGTTAGATATGACCGGTGAGACTTGTATACCTGAGGCCACTACAGCCGAAGAAAAGAACGCTGAGGCCGATACCCATAGGGTGAGTTAGGACAGCAGAAACTCAATTAATTTGTCTATATTTTTTTTCGTAAATTTAAACTTGTATGAAACTTTTTTCGAGTTGAATTCATTTTGACTTTGAAATAGTCATAGTTTCCAGAGGTATAATATTCACTTATATTTCTGTACACATATTTTCAGATTTTGAATTACTTATTACATGAACACATAACAAGAAAATTTTAATATGATATTCATAAAATAATCGATACATTAGCAAATCATGTTACTTTATCAAAATTGTTGATAAATTGAATTATTTCATGCCATCCCCCCCACTATATTTTGACTCATTGTGATATTTGTCTAGACAGTAATTAGTTATAGGTGGGTTATTCAGCATTAAGATAGAGCTATAGTTGCAAAAGGAAGCGTACTTCTTTATACGTCATAAACACGCGAACTGTTTCACCACGCAGTAAATTCTGACATTTGTCAAAGTCATTAAGTCACTAAAGGTCGTTGTGTACAAGGGCACACTTGACAGGCGACTTTCTCTCCAGGATGGAAATATATGTATATTGATCAATTACAATATGTATGTGTCGGGAGACGTCGGAATTAATTCTGTATGAATGCTAAATTGTTTGCGTGTACCTGAATGACTTCAACCAAACAACTTCATTCAAAGATGGAGACATTTTACAATATTGGTGAAAAAAAATCTCATTATAAATGTATCATATTCATGTATGCTAATCCCTTATAATGTTAGTGATATTAAATATAGTCTAGCTTCGGACAATGTCACTTTCTTATTGTGTGACTAGTATATTTTGGAAAAAAAGTATTTCCTTTTTGTGTTCAATTGCTTGAAAAGTTGTTTGTCACAAGTTTTTCTAAGTGTTATAAGTATTGGTCTCCCTCACAAAATTCTCTATATGTTATTTGGTACTTTTAACAGTTGGCTCTATTTTCTGTCTAAGTAAGCCTTAGCATTTTTTAATTAACATTTTTTACACGTCTGGATCATTGAAGTGTGTAAAATTGCATTATGGGTCATGATTTATATAAGAAAGACTTCTATACATTTGATAGGATTAGGTGGAAAGTGATTTTTTTTACTCTTTATCACTGAAAACACTCCCTCCCTACAATCTGATTGTTAAATAAAGTTATATTCAATTCAAGAAAAACCTCAGATTTAAATCTTTATGGGAAAATACCTAGAGTAGGGATTACGACGATGGGTGGGGGGTTGCCTGGGGGGTTCATGAAGTATCACTAGATAACCGTATTTGAACTTTGAGATTCAATTTTGAATTAGATTCTTCATATGCAATGCTAGTTCAAAACAACCTTAATTATATCGTAATGATATTTTGATTGTCAGAAAAATGTTGTACAAGTTTGTTTTATGTATAACCTGAAAAAGGTTTGATCAAGCATTAGTCCTGTAAAAAATAAATAAAACCTGAAACAGTTGTATCTGGTAAGTTCTGTAAAAATCATTGAAATCATACTGATCACTTGTGAAGGACAAATTAAAGAATGTAAGAAAGGATGAGGAAGTGTGGGTGTAGGGGTGTGTTAGTGAATGCAATGGTCTATGCAGTACCTGTCATATATGTCATGTTCATGTACATATAAAGATATTTTAGACCTTATTACTGGTGAAGAGTCTATGTACTGCACTACCAATTGGATATCACAGTCGAATGATTTCCCCGTAAGCGACTCACTTTAAGCAACTTTTCATTCGGAAAAAAAATAATGCAGTCTTTCACAAAATTTGGAAAATCAGTAAATGTTCCTAGAACACAATGTCATACAGCTATCCGAGTGTTTGTCAATGTGTTAAATATAAAACTCTCCAAGTGGGTTGTGCCATGAAATAAGTGCCTTCATGACACATTCTTGATTTTCTGAAGAAAAAAAGAACTGCATTGGGGAAAAAATGCAGTGATTTTGGGAAGATATATGGCTTAAGTTTTCAAGAGTAAAAGGATGATAATTGACTTGAAGCTAGTAAACTTCTAATGTCACTGATTGGTTAAAAAAGTATAGTAATCATAACTTAAATATCAGATTCATGTACCAGGATGCTTGGGAGTAAATGTTGCTTAGAAAACAAGATAAAATCAAACGATTTTCATTTTATATGTAGATCAGATTATTTTTAGGTAAAATCCTCTAATGGATGTCCCTGTAAGAAATAGACTCATCAGGTACACCAAATGTACTTTAAACGTCTACTCCTGTTAATCTGCTCAGGGGACATTGAAGCTGCTGCCCCCATTACCACACTTACCATCTCTATCCTATCTGTTCTCCTCTCCCTACTCTTTGTTCGTGTCTCCTTATAGTCACCTGTCTCCTTTCTCCTTATAGTATCTATTGTCAGTATAATATGCTGTCTTCATATTTACCTAAGCTATTGCGAGGATGTCAAACCCCTCACAAACAAACCTCTACTGATGCACCATAGAAGTTCATTGGGTGATTGGATGGCGCAGTGGATAGCACACTAACTGTGGGGACTCAACTCCCTGATCAGACTGGAAAGGTATGGAATCACCTGCCTGACCAGATGGGTTTCTTCAGGTACTACAGTTTTCTCACATATTTAAGACCTGCAGTGTTTGCTTCCATCAGGGATACCAAGAGAGATTAGTAGAAGTTTTTGAAAAGTTAATAATGTTTAATTTTAAAATTCCGACCATATATTACCTCCCTTAGTGAAGCTCTGCTCATCATATGATCATTATATGACCTTTCATTGTGGAGGTGTGGTCATTATCTGACCTCTATAATACCTTTCTTAGTGGAGGTCAAGTTGTCATTTGACCCTTTATGACCTTATCTATTGTCAGTATAATATGACTGGGTGGAATACTGTGCAAGGTGCTTTCAGCATGGTATTTCAGTGAGATCGCACTCTAAAGTTCACATCAGCTGTGCCCTATATACCGTACCGTCTCCAGCACACATACACATGATGCATATGGAGCCACATCCTTAAATGACGTTAGCTGTTAACCCTTTCACCCCTATGCAACTTTAGTAAACTCTTCCATGCATTGATCTGGATGAGTCCATTATGGTCTGCAGTGATGAAAGGGTTAATTAGATGCCAAACACTATGAACTTAACTTTACTTTGCTGAGGTATGG